GTTGTTAGTGGGTTTCTTGTGGGTGGTGGTGTTAGTGGTGTTGTCTTGTGGGTTGTGGTGATAGTGGTGTTGTTTTGGGTGGTAGTTTTAGTGGTGTTGATCTTGTGGGTGGTGTTGTTTGTGAGTTGGTTTTGTGGGTGGTGGTGTTTTCTTGTGGGTGGTGGTTTTAGTGGTGTTGCTTGTGGGTGGTGGTGTTTTTTGGGGGTGGGGGTGTTAGTGAGTTGGTTTTGGGGGTGGGGTGTTGTTTTGTGGGTGGTGTGTGATGTGGTGTTGCCCTGTGGGTTTGTGTTAGTGGTGTTGATCTTGTGGGTGGTGTTAGTGTTGTTGGCTTGGGGGTGAATTTGGGGTTGTTGCTCCTGGGGTGGTGTTTTTGTGTTGTTGGTTTGTTTTTGGTGGATTGTGTTGGTCTTGTGGGTGGTGGGGGTACGGGTGTTGGTCTTTTTTGTGGTGGTAGTGGTGTTGGTCTTGTGGAGGGCGATGTTAGTGTTGATGGTTTTGTGGGGGGGTGGTGTTAGTGATTTTGTCTTGTGGGGAGGTGTTAATGGGCTGGTCTTGTGGGTGGGGGTGTTAGTGGTCTTGTTTTCCCTGGTGGGTGTTATTGGGTTGGATTGGGGTGGGGGTGTTAGCGGTGTTGTCTTGTGGGTGGTTGTGTTGGGTGTTGATCTTGGGGGGTTGGTGGTGTTAGTGTTTATTAAAAACCCCAGGATCCAAGGCTGTTATCCGGGGGTTTAAAAGGGAGAAAAATAAACACAGCAAAAAAGTTTTGATTATTTATCCTTCAAAATTTTAGAACAGCAGTATATCCCACTTTATACACTTGTCGTGATAGGTATTAGTGCATCCACGGAAGCAAGGCAGAATAGAACCCCAAAAAGAGAGCGACAGTGCTTAAACCCAGCTCTAAAATGGGAATGACGGGCAGAAGGAAATGGTACCCAAAAAACCTTGCGTTGCCAAAAACCTCTTTTATGGCGGGAAAACCTGGTTACTAGTTGAACGCCGGGGGCCCCTCGTCAATCCCAGAAAACCTGGTTTGTGGTTGGGGGGAAAACCCTGAAAAGGGAGGGTGTGTACATGCGCCGAATAAAATTTACTACTTTTGTGTCCAGTCTATTGGTCTTGTGGGTGATGTTTTGGGTGTTGTCTTGTGGGTTGTGGAGTAGTGGTGTTGTTTGTGGGTGGCAGAGTGTGGTGTTGATTTGTGGGTGGGGTGTTAGTGATTTTGGTCTTGTGGGTGGTGGTGTTTAGCGGTTTTAGTTTTTGGGGTGGTGTGTTAGTGATGTTGGTTTTTGGGGTGATGTGTGGTGTTCGTTTTGTGGGTGGTGGGCTATTGGTGTTGGTTTGTGGGGGGGTGGTTAGCAGGCTGGTTTTTTGGGGT